CTTAGTAAACGGCTCACATGGGAGCAAATTACAGAAGTGATGCAATTGCAATATAGTGATTGACTAAGAATGTAAGCAGGAAAGTTCTCCTCTCAAGTCTCATTAGAATCAAGAATTAATTACATGGTCATAGTCAAGTTAGAGCCTCCTCTTGGGTTTAGTTTCCTATTTCCACCATGAGGTTAATCTCTTTTACAAAACTGAAAATTAATCAAGATAGGTAGATATACAGATAAAGAGGGAGTACTATAAATTCTCAAAAAGTGCGCATATAAACATTAAATTATCATATTTATCTATGTGAACCAACACTGAAGGTGCTTTGATTTAATAGACAAGTGTCACTGTCCATTAAAGATGCAAGGAATGAAATTCTGGTTTCTAACTATCATGTCTAAGAACCAACTTTTCCCTTGAAAAAATATAAGGTTTCCTGCTTGAGCAGAGCTTTGACTAGAACACCTCTTAGGTCCCTTCCAACTCTGTTATTCTGTTACTTTGTACATCTAAAACAAGAACACTAAGAAGCTAACTAAATTCTTAGGATTCCATACATCCATTGAAAATTTTGAAGACTGTTGATTTTAATAATTATACAGTGTTAAAAGTTCATTAAGTCCTGGTCGTGAGGGTTTCTATGAATCATCTTTGCATGACTGATGAGAAAGCAAATTCTGTGATGACCCAGGGTGTGGCACAAAAATAACGAAGTCACCAAAGTAGATAAATTCCAAGTCTCCAACTTGGCCCACAATGTCCAATTATCTTCGGGGGGGGGGGATCAAACTCTTCCAAAAACAGTCTACAAAGGGAAGAAATGCAGTCCAAACCCAAAATATAGATAAAGTTGAAATAAAAAACCCAACACAAACCACGCTGAAGTAATTAACAGACAGACCAGGATAATCTTGCAGACTTTCAAAAGATAAGGAGGCACACATAGTTGGGAGGATGCCAAAACCCAGATAAGCGTGTTTTGTTTCCAGCAACTTTGCCATGCACAGTTTGCCCTTTTAAACAGTCTTCCCAGCTGCAGCCTATGAAGGGGATCAAGCCCCTTTCCTCTCCCGTGAACCACCTTATCTGTTCCTTTCTGCTTGCCCTAGGATGAAGGGGGGGTGGGCTTGGGTCTTCCTCTGAATGCCCAGCCGGCCTGTGCCCTTCCCCGGTTTCGTTCCCAGCCACCGGAGCCACACTCCCACTCCCTGTCAGCTGTTCCACATCTCCCTTGGAATCAGATTCTAACTGGGACATGACAAATTCATTAACTTCTTTACTTATAATATTTAGCTGTAAATTTGGCTTTAAAATTGTTTTGGGTTTTTTGTTTAGAACTGCAGTACCTGAGCTACTAGGTCAAACTACCAAATTGAGCTTTTTAACACCAAAGCTAATTTATTTTTCACTGAATAAACATGTTTTAATCCTATACTGCGTTCACATTAACTTATCTATACACACACATAGGCTAATCTATACTCCACCTGAATTAAGCATATTAATTCATTACTTGCTCCTTACTACTTACCTTACTTATGAAGGATAAAGCAACATGTCTGAATTAAAATTTCAGTTTTATTTACTGAATGAATATACAAAAAGTATACTTAACAATCCAAAATCACACTGGGCTATCTGCTGTCTCCCAACCTTCACTAAATCTTGTAAAGTTGTTATTAAATGGTATTATTTTTGTTGAGGAAGGGGAAAATAATCAAACTGACTGTTTAAATAAATATAAGTGAAAAGAAAGGGAAACAAAGTGTCAGCCCAACACAGCTAAATATACAGACATAACATAATGAATAAACATTTTCCAATCTAGACCTCAAGTTTGCAAATCAAGTCTTATACCACATCCATACAGTCCAAAATTTGATTTGGGCTTTTAAACATCTATCCATATTGAAGAGTCAATGGAGGTTTGAGGCCTCTACTAGGTATCTGCACTTGGTTTAACTCAAGAATTGAGAAATCCATCTTCTGAGGAAGACAATATTTCAGCAAAGCTAAATGAACAATTTATCAAGACCTTTGGTGATGTCCCTTCTTGACATACAATGTTGATGGTTTTGAAGGAAATGTCAGTCGAAGTCAGGTCAATAACAGCCAGAAGAATCAAAGTGGTAAATCAGCTACCTTGCCTTTACAAGTTCCTCTATTCAAAATTTAGTATTTAAACAAACAGCTGGCAGGAAATGAAGGGAAAAGAGTCCTCTGACATTACCTATTTAATTGATTATATCTATTCTGACTGGAAAACTGCAGGTAATTTCAACAACAATCAATAATAAACTAGATGGACAAAGAGATACGTCTAAAGAAATTTCTTACATGGTACTGTATTTATTTGTGTTCAATCTGCTATAGCTCAAAAAGAGAAAGTTGGAATTAAAGCTGCTAAGAGAATCTCTGAAATAAAGAGTATTATTTAAATAATGATTCATGGACAAAGAAAGTCTTATTGTGCACTGGCCTTGTACCCCAGAGTATGAAACTTTCATTCTGAAAGAGATTTAGGTTGCCTTTCTCATTCAACTTGATTCAGGTAACTCTTAGCATTGTTTTTCTATAAATATGTATGGTTTGATAAGGCTGCCCGCTCCAGTTCAATATTTTTATTTTGCTGTTTTAGGATATGTGTATTTGTGTGTGTACAACCACACATATTGTATATGGGAAAGAACTTTCAATATTTTATACACAAAAGCAATAAACCATAATAATATGGCCTTTGTGGAAAATGAGATGATGAATTTGCTTATGCTAAAATAATGTGAGGTATAGAAAAATCAGGTATGCAAGGTATACCTATTCAATACCTTCTATAGAAGATATAGAATATTAAAAAATCAAGTTCATTGCCTTCCTTGAAGCTCAATGGGAGAAACTGGGTAATTTTCAGTGCCTCATGACTAGTTTAGCTAAACAGGTCTCATGTTTTATGACTCCTCTTTTGATTTCCCAATTTCCCAATTCTTGGTGCAGCCCTCAAGTGATCTCTGGAATTGAGGTTCAACTTAAGCTACCTTGAAGTGTCAATCAAACGCCTAGCATACCAAAAGATCTTGGAAGAAAAGCTTAAGATACAAATTCTATGAGGAAATTCTTCTATGTTTCGTTTTGTTCTAAAGCACATTTAAAGGCTGTCCAAAAAGAAAACACAGCAGTGCTGGCCTTGGACAAATATTGGAAACTCATTTGCATTAGTCATACCACTGCTACAAGAGTAATCAGCAGTTATCTGAAAGATAAGATAGCCTCTAGGCAAATTGCAGTAATGTCTTCTGGCAAGCTACCCCAAGCAGTGAACTGATAACTCCTCAATTACCACATGAGTTCAACAGCTCAGTGACTGAACCGTTAAAGCAATATTAGTTACTTCAGTATTGCTAAGCATACTTCATGCAAGGCTCCATAAGCATGTTCTAATACAAGCCCAGCTGTTCCCACGTCACCTACAAAATAGATGAAACAGATAGGAAGTCCAGTTCTGAAGTTGATGCATTGGGGGGGGGGGGGACATCTATTGTGTTAAACAATCAGCAAGTCAAAACTAATCTCATCTACTGTCTGGTCAGTTCTAGGCTGCTGATTCAATAAAGAATTCCCTCAATGTTTCATAACAAAGTCAGCTTCTGACTCACAAGGACAGAAATGCTTTTGACCAAACTACCCATCTGAATCCAAGGTTCAAATGTACATACATCTGGAAATCTTAGAAGCAAAAGCTGGTACTACTATATGCAAAATTAGGTGCATCACTCTAAACCTATTAAACATATACACACATCAATGGATTTAAGTAGAACTTAATTCTGCATAGAGCTGCATAGAACCAAAGGGACTAGAAGTATCAACTGGTGCATGAATGTAGAGCTGCCTGAAATATATAGCAGATAGGCCAAGTAGATGAGATGGCACAGATAATAGACCTTTGATTTTAACAAATTTTAACAAAGAGGTAGTATATATCAAAAGACACCATAAACTTTTTTTCCAACCAGACCACTATCATAATAAATACTGACCTCTGCTCTTGTTCCAACTATAAAAGATAAAAGACCTGTGAATATTTTTGCTGGAAAAAGAGCAGAGGACAGCAATGTGGTTGTAAACATTTTCTTCTAGAATATTTCTCTTATACCTACCATGGCCCTAAGCTAGCACATCATCTTTTTTCAACACAATGGATACAGACTGTAGCGACTATAATAGAACTAAAATAATATCCAAACTGTTCTATATATTTTGTGTAATTCTATCTAATGTAAAATAACAAAGATGAGCAACCATTTAAATGATGAAAATTCTAAAATGTTCAGAGTAATTTGAATAACAAAGCATTGTCATTAAAAAAACTACAAATCACAGAAATATATATATGCATATTAGTGTGATGGGGCAAAGTTCCAAAACCATTTCCAAAACTATGAAATTTCATCGGTATTTGATTCCTGTAGCGAGACATGTTATATGCATTATAAAGTTCACTGATTCTATTTTTAATGACAAACAGTTGCTTTATTGACAAATAATAAATAAACAGGTCCACACATTGCAATCTCCTTTTTCCACTGTACTGTACTGTTGACACAGAGATCAAATTCCATGATTGGTAGCATTCAAATATTGTCTCTCCTGCTTCTGCTTTGTATCATAACTAGCTTATAGGAATTTTCTTTTCATGCCCCTGTTCCTCTACCATTTGCACACATCAAACATAATGCCTGCAGACTGGAAGGAGACAAAGAGGAGGAAGTGCAGAATCAATGAACCTCTGATGACTAATAATCACCCTATAGAACACCTGTTCCAGGCCAATATATCTTTGTGGGGGGGAAGCCCCAAGGCATTACTCTTTCAAAATATAGGCTACCTTCTAAGGGAGGGACAGTGAGACCACCAGTCTCAACTTATTCTACACAAGCAGCTTACTAACAGCTTTTGTATCACCAGCCAGAGAAAAGAAATCCAACTGTTTTAAAGGGAATTCATACCTTTTGGATCCTCCAATGTAGGTGAAGGTAAAAGTGGAATCTGCGTATCTGAAATCTGGAATACAAAAGAGATGTGTTGCTATTGATCAAGCTTGCTTGTTTGCCACATCTGTCTTGCCTGGTCTGTTAACTTCCCAGCACCCTCAGCTCCCTCCCCAGTATGCACACATATCAGAGATTAATTCAAGCTGGGGAATAAAAATAGCAACTATCATCATCATAATATAAGGGAGGAGGACCCCAGTCTACCCCTCCCTGCAACAAGTGCTCCAGTGCTATGGCAACAACAAGGATTTCCATTATCGGTGGAGGCAACAGGCAGTAAACAAGACAAACTGCTCAAGGCAAATCAAACATTATCAGAAATTATCTGAGGACAGTAACAAGCCAAAATATTGAAAATTTGAAATAAGGGGCCAGAGCGGGAGGGAAGGCGAGATGGGAGGAGATAAAAGGTAATAAAGATAGAGCTATTTGTGCACCGTATCACTAAGTCCACCCTAGAAGGTATACTTTTGACTAACACCTTCCCAGGCATGAAAAATATGATGATGGACGGACCCCAGTTTATTGTTCAAGGCAAAGGTTTAAAAACATGGCGGGAAATGGGGTGCATGAAAAAGACTGAGATGGATGGTGGCTTATTTCTTAAAGGTAAACCAAAACCCAATCTAACTAGGAATTAATTCACTAAGCCCCAACATCCAACAGTCCTCCAATTAAGCCACAATTAAGCCACAATAGCTACTTTATCTAGGAAGGGTGATGGGGGGGGGGGGGTCGGCACATGCTTTGAAAAAAAAACCAAGAAGAAAACGCCAAAGGATTCTTCTCTCCGACCGAGTTCGGCTACCCTCCCATCAACACGTCTGGAGCCAACTCCAGCCACTGCCCTCCTTGGAGAAAAAAAAAGTCCGAAAGCAACTGAGTCGGGATAGGAAGCGGGGTGGCGGGGTGGGGGGTGGAGGGGGAAAAAGACCAAGCTGGGAAAACTCACCTGCAAACAGGCAGTCCTTTTCCACCTTGCACTTTTGGATCACTATGTCAATATCCTTCTGAATCCTTTCTTGCCTTGAACACATCCCCATGAACTGAATCCCTGGGGGAAAGGAAAAAAAAAGGAAAGGAAAGGAAAAGGCAAGGAAAACCGCCTTGGGGATTCCTCGGCTTGTCTTTCTCTCTCTAAGCTCGTTTCCTTTGCTTCCTTTTCGGTGAAAAAGCGGCTCAAAAATGGAACCCTTCCAGGAAGACCGAGGGCTTTTAACAAGAAAAGAGGGGAAGCTCGCCTTCCTGGGTGCGCGCGGAATCCGGGGGAAATTGGCGTTGCGTGGCCAGATGTGCTCGCCCAGATGTTGACGCCAGTTTCCCTTCGGGCTTGGCAGTAGATAGCCAGAAGGGGCTCGGGGGGGGGGGGGGG